AAACAGTGGAAATGATTTTCAAAAAGAACTACTTGTAGCCAAAATGTATGCTCTTGCTTGTGCTTGAACATTGTGAAATGAACTGCAAATGCTCTGCTGTCTATAACACACTCTCTTTAGATCTGACAACTACCTTAATTTTCAGCTGGATTCCACATCCTGATGATCAATAGATGCTGAATGCTCAACTGAACTGAAATTTAAAAATACTATGATGAAACTTTGTAAGGCTTTGATTTCTCATGCAGTCAGCCCAGTCTTGAAAGGAGACATCCCACAAAGGAACCTTAAAGAGGTCTAGAAGATCTGAAATGGGATTCAGAAAGTGAATCCGCAACAATACTTTGGGATGTACTGAGACAGTGGGGCGTTGGGTTAGAGTTGCAAAGGGCAATTTCAGGACAGGCACTAGTAAGCATTTATTTACACAGAGGGTAATTAATGGCTGGAATAGGTTACTGGGAAGAGTGGATAAGGCCAGGAAACTGAACAGAATTTTTTCCTAAAAAAATCTCAATGGTTTGAGGCAGGGACAATCTGACGACTGGGTATTCTGGAAAGATGAGATCATGTGTGCCAAAGGGTCTTCTTCATCCAAATAAACTTTCTGATCTTGTGATAGATAGTTAAAATGCTGTCCATATGCACACTTAAGATATTACTGAATCAACATCCACTATTGTTAATAAATTCACTATGGGTTGCGTTGGTCTCAATCTTGATTGTCAGAGCAGTAAGTGATTGATTTCTTTTAAGCATTTGTTTGTATGACTGAATACATGTAGCGAACCCATTACTGCTGCAGTATATTAAGTGCAGCGATCTAAATAAGCAATAAACCTCATTTGGAATTACAGTACTTTGAAGGAGGAAATTTATACCACACTTGTTATGAATGCATCAATTAATGCAAGTAGGACCTATGGGGCTCTCCCGTTGGCCAAGTGAGTTAAAGCATTAAGCCGTACAGGTCAATGGATCACAGATTCAATTCTCGTCTTAAGCTTCTGTTGCCATAAATCAGCTCCCAGAGGTTTTATACTGTGGCAGAATTTTCTGGACAAACTTGACCTGTAAATACGTGGAATGGGCATTCCGATAAGATGTTAAATTGTCCAGTGATGAAAAACCTTTGAATTTTCCAGAAGTTTAAAAACCCTTTAAAGTAAATAATAATATACACCTTTCACTTCACGAAGATGTCTCAAAGTGCTTTACAGGATTTATTGTAAACTGCAATGGCTGTGCATTTTGTAAGCAAACTCGGCAGTCAATTTACGTACAACAAAGTGTCACAAAGAGCCATGAGTGAATGACCAAATTTCATCTGCTGGATGGTTGGCCAGGAAAGACCAGGCCAAGTCAGCCCAGGTCTTTAAATTTAGTCCTAAGAACAGTGATGTAGTTCAGGATAATTTGCTAAAACCGCAAGAGTCTCAGATGTGCATCACACCAGCGAACTCCTTTACAACGCAAATTTCTGGACACGTCAGAATTGAATTCGCACGAATGGGAATCCGGCTAGCAGAAGAATTTGATATTTACACAACTACATTATAAATCCTGCATTTTAGGCAAAGAAATAAAGAAACCCATTTTGGTCGGTCACATCGCTGTATTTTGCAAGTTTTATTAATGCCAAAATTCATTCCAGTCGCAGAGGTTTGATGTATTTTCCCAAATCAAAATGTAATTTTAATATTTCAAATAATCATAATTATTTATTCGCATTTCTACCAAGCATTTGATTGCTAAATTGTTCTTCTGACATGTATTTTTCATATGTTTTATAGGAACAGGCAATTAGGGAAAACAGCTGGGAACCATTCCAGTGACAATTTGTTTTAAGGTCTGGGTTTGTGTTAGTGACTCACTGCTTTTCTCAGTATTCTGTTAGTCTCAGGATCTGATCTTGTAACCTTAGTTTAATCATGTCTGAAGATTGATTCAGTTTAGTGTTCTAGCAATGTCATTTATAATGACAGAAAGCAAGCTACATTGAATAGGAGAATCTCTCACTTATGGAATTATTATTGATGATAAACTAATAACAATAATAATAATCACCCTTACATTTGATATCGCACATTTTATATCAGGAAGATGTCTTCGCAAAGCACTTCAGATATATTTTATGGGCAAAAGTGGCAGACAATTTGAACATAATGATGTCGCATAGACAACCATTAGTAAATCACCAATTTTATCTGAAGGAATGATGGCCAAGCCTACAGAAGAAACTCCCTTCTCTTTGAGTAGTGCCATCGGATCTTTTACGTCCACCTGAACAGGCATCTCAAAGCGCTTCACAGAATATAAAAGTGAATTGACAGTGTATTTTGTGGGAGAATTGCAGCAGCCAATTGTGCACAGAGGTGTCCCATAAACAATCATGGATTGGGTTACCAAATTATTATTATTATTGTTATTTTTAAGGGATCATTACCCCCGGAAAAGCACTCCGCCAATTAACTTACAAGCAGGTTCCTACTTCCTGCCAGGTAAACAGAGGAGTGTGGAGTAAGGAAACTTGCCCAACATTTCGTCCTGCCGGGAAGGGAATTGAACCCAGGTCCTCTTGCTTGGGAGGCGAATGCTGCAACCACTAAGCTAGAGGACTCCACTCCAATGAAAGGATTATGATAACTAAAAAAATGGTTTTGGTTTCCAAATGCCGGAGACAAAGCATTCAACATGAAATCATTGCTAACATCCACAGAATAAAAACATCAGTATGTGGCAACAGCAGATAATTGGTGTATTCTTGTGTTTACATACGTCTCTCCAGAAATGCCGGGTAGGTTTGAGTGATAAAAAGGAGTGTCATGAGACAGGATCATGGCACAATGGATGAGGGCATGACCTGTAAGCACTCAAAACTGAGACAGAGGAACTCAAAGAACCGGAAGGCGCCAACTGATGTGCTTTCTTATCTGATTCGACTGCTACGGTGATAAAATGAGGAAACAAGTAAGGAGGGAGGGAGGGGTGGGGGAGAGGGTATTTGGGATGCTAAAACAATTAAAAAGAAGCAGAATTAACAGATATTTGCAATGTAGTTTCAGGCACAAGGCCAACCTTTCAGCAAAGCAGAAAACAACTGAAAGAATCAGAGAATAGAAAGAAATGTTGGCAATCTGGCACATTTAACGTTTCCTATTCAACTTGGAGATATTTGTTCACATAGAATAACAATCAGCAAGCTCGCATAACACGTACACGAGATGAGTTTCAAACATTAGTAGTGTTTCAGGATTGTGGAAAATGTTATTTTTCTGCCAGGATTTAAACCAGAGTTTTTTTTTGTTATATACTGAATCTCCTCAGCAATTCATTGATTTCCACCACTCATGATGTTTTACACAGAACATCGTTCATCAGAACTGAGGTTCAACGTTTCTCCTTTCAGGCAGTAACTCTCGCTGGGATGTGGTTCCCAAGGTGCCACCTACCTTTTGGTATCAAGCACAATTGGTTATTTATTTTCAATGTGGGTTTGTGGTGGTCTAACCATCATAATAATCCTTGCATTTGGTATAGCGCTTCATAGGATATATTGTAAAGTGGAGTGACGTTTTTCTGTGCGGGCAATGTGTCAGTTGGTGACAGTAGCAACCTAATGTGTATTTAATTATAAGAATCCCTAGGGGGACAGCGATTTTTATGGCAGGCTGACGAGAGGATCAGAGCCTAGCTTGATCTTGTCCTCACCTGACATCCACACATGCGTACTATCCAATATAAGTCACTGGACACTGACTAGGTACACAAATCCCTGCTAATGTTTGCAACCCCTAGCTCAGGCTATTTAGTATTGCTAAACTGTTATTCTATACTATTAGGTCTGAGAGAAACTAAAGAGCTCATGGCAAGTCTCAAGACTTACCTCTTTGATCACGCTTTCGGTCACCTTTCCCCTCCCTACCCTCTTCGGCCTACTCGGGTGCCCAGCCAGCAGTGTCAAGCTCTTCACGATGACCTCCTGATCATGAAAGGTGTTTTATAAATCTCAATTGTATGTTGGTAATGCAGAGGAAACCTGGCGCTGAGCCTGTCACCTGCCTGATTGGTATGGTTCAGTTTTACTCTATGGAGTGGGTTTATCAAGACATCCATTGGGAAACTGTATTCATAATTAACACAAAGGAACTGATTCCTCACAAAGAAAACTATATTGTATAAATTATTAATATTCATCTTTACCGCCATCTTAAACGCCAAGCAGATTGACTTGTCAGATTATTTTACAGTTTGCGTTCACACAAGTAATATGCCAAGATAAAATAGATATGTTGGGCACATTGATTCAGTGGCTGGGAATGGGATTTAACCTTCACTCTTAATCTCGTTGTCATTGTCAACTGATTAATTGATTACTTCCATATCTATCATGATTAGATATGTTTTTGAAAGCATATTTAGTAATCCACTTGAGAATGCTAATGTGTTATTCATGTTCTGCCTGACAAAAATATGGGTGGATTTTAATCAGAGGAAGAAAGTTTCTCCCTTTTTAAGAAAGCAAAGTCAAAGAATGTTGTTGAATATAAAATATATCCAAAAGATCTTTCTCGGTAAATTTTCCACCTTGTACTTCCAATTTGCAGCTGGTGATTTATTGTTTGGAACAAAAGACCATCAACCACGTAAAATCATGCAAATAAAAGCATTAAGCAAATTTGCATGTACAGTTAGCTTCAGAAATTAAATTAAGTGCTTCAGCGTCAATACATTTTATTTCTGGTGATCGTTTTGTGCTATACTGTAGACCTTAGCGACATACGATTTGGAGCACATACCCAAACATGTGAGAGTTTTATCAGTTTTCATCTGCATATTTTATTTTATGATTATAAGTATTTTGTTTGAATTTTAAAAAAGCTACTTGTGAAAACGTACTGAATACTTCTAAAATAATCTGAACCTCAAGCTGAACAGGACAGGAAATTTAAGAAATATTCATTTGCTTGACAAGGAGAGAGGCAGGATAGGGCCGTTACCTCTTACTGTGCAGTTTGGCCATGGGACATTGCTACTTGTGGGCACTGCTGTCCACACTCCAGATGGATGGCAGAAGTAACCGACTGCAGGTTCGGTTTCAAAGTCAAATCCTTCATTGCAACGAACAACGCAATAATCAGTCCGACAGTATGAAATCCCATTCACTGGATTTGGAAATTTCCTACATGCTGGAGACAAATACCATTTGAGTTAATGAGTGAGTAGTAACATCACTATAGATCGTTTATTCTTAAGGGTTTGCATATTCACATTACATCTTAACATATTCTGGACAGTAAATTCATGTCTTCCCCAATAATAAATACCCTTCTCAAGTTGGATAGTCTTTATTTAGGCCCCATTGTAGCTTGTAATTTGGAAGGTTATAATAATATTAATAATTCTTGCCTTTTATATAGCGCCTTATCACGTCTTCGAGACATCTCAAAGCGCTTCAATGGGTTAAAACCCCACATTCTGGTATTTCCAAATTAACTTGAAATTGCCAATTTTGAACTCACTTAAAATGCACAAACTCCAAACCAATATAAAAGAGACTTATCACTTGTAAAAGAAAACAAAAATATAAAAAAGAATGGGAGAAAAGAAATGGGATGAGCATAGATAGCTCCAGTGGAAAGCTAAAATGGCACAAAATCAATGAACTAAATGGCCTCTTGTGCAGAAATTACTCTTGAATATTCATTAATTCAAAGATTCCACACACCATTTAGTGCAAATCAATGCTTCCTGGTTCTCAATGCATCAACACATATGATTTAACACTTGCAGAAATCTATACCTCAAGAATATCTGAAAATTTCTGTAAAGGTAATCATGTAACTGTTGTACGTGTGTAAAATACATTTACCTGAGGAATCTCCTTGCCATGATGGCACAGAATGGACTATCTGAAGCAAACCTGTGACAAACAACAGGATCATGACTGAAGCTGGAACTGAGCGCAGAGCAACAACAATCTGCTTTACAGGGAAGAATGTTAGTAATCGATCATATAATAGTTAAACATTTAACAGCAGGCAAACAAAACTAGTCCTCAAGGCCAAGCTAGAAGCCAGCCAGGAGCTAGGCTTGAATAACAATATTGTAGGGTTTGAAGAGCAGATTTGATCACGATTTGGAACCAGACAAGATGACGAGCGAGAGAATTAATTTTACTAAAAGCTAGTTTTGTATCCTGGAACGTGCCAGTAAAAATAAAAGAATCCTTGCATTCCTTATAGCCCTACAACATTAAAACAGCTCAAAGTGCTTCAGCAATATCTATTAAGCATATTGGCTACATTTGTAAGTAAAGCAGGATGGGGAATAAGGATCATAACTGAACCAGATTTTGGGACATACAAAACAGAAGTTATAAAAGACAGGCCTGACATTAAATCAGACACGTATTTATGGAACCCTTGAACAATGCTAAAAACATTGTGCTGATTAATCTTCTGTTGGTACATGCGATAAGCTTGGTTATTATCGCACTCTTGTTGCGTTGGAGGTAGCTAATATTGACTCGCAAGCTTGGTGTGCTGGTGATGTATTATGTCAGGATTTGCACCCAGAAGTATTTCTGCAGAATCAGCAAATGCTATTTCCTACTGCCAGAACGGACCCAGTAAGACAGTGACCTTTAGATCTTTCCCTGGAGCAAACGCTAACTGCCGTACAATTGAGATTGCAAATGCAATGGGATACAAGATGACATTTTTAAACCAGAGCTTATAAGAATCCTTACATTTGTTATAGCACCTTTCATGTCAGGAGGATGTCACAAAGTGCTTCAAATGACTTACTGTAAACTGCAGAGGCTGTGTGGTTTGTTGGCGAAATGAGGCAGCTAGTTTGCGGAAACAATGTCCCACAGCCACATAATGTAGAAAACACTGTCGGTCTTTCATTCTGATGAGATTATCCTTCATGAAGAACATTTGGTCAGCATGTTAGCAAAGAGAAGATGCACGGGCATAAACACATTACTCATTAGAAATGAAATATGATCATCAGTTTTTCTCCTGTCAAACTATAAAGAAATGGGTTGCTAAACAATATTTTCAGAGAAATTTCCCTTAAGGAGATTGGAAAAAAAACATATCACCATAGACAAATGACTATTTGTACCAGAAACAAAACAACAGTAAATAGGGAGCAAATCTGCTTGTTTGAGTAGAAACTGTCTTCAATGAATCATCACACGAGCAATACGTTATAATAATCACAGTCCGTGAACAACAATAACTTGCACTTATATAGCGCCCTTTATGTAGGGTAGCGTCTCAGAGCGCTTAACAGTGGCGGAGCCTGTCTCCGAGCCGGGGAGGAGGGGCAGGTGACCATAAGCACGGTCGAACAGGAAAGTTTTCAGGCGGGACTTGAAAGAGGGGCCAAGGAGGAGGGGTTGAGGGAGAGCGTTCCAGAGTTTTGGGGCGGAGTGGCTGAAAGCACGACCTCCGATGGTGGGGCGGAGGGTGCAAGGGACGAGCAAGAGACCGGTGCCAGTCGAGCGGAGGCGCCGGCTAGTGGATTGGGGAGTGAAGAGGTCGGAGAGGTAGGGAAGTGCCAGGGAGTGAATGGATTTGAACACCAGGTGAATTTGTATTCTCGCAGAAAGTTATTACTTTCCCTAGAGTAAGCTGTGACTTATGTGCCCGTGAGGTTATAAATGGCTTGCACATAGCAGAGCTCTTATAATACAAATTTAATTCCAAAGACACATCACAGGAATTATTAATGTAGTAATTTACGTCACTGGGTCTTAGTCCCAGAAATTTAAGGTTGAATCCAGGTTAATGAGGGTTACACCAATAAGAGACGTACAGAATTGGCAGAAACATGAATTGATGTTGTTAATCTGCTTTGAAATGCTCACCAGTCCAGCACCATCTGATTTAATGATTTTTTCCCTCACATTGAAGTTACAAGGTTCAAAGCGAGAAGCTTTTTATTGATAAATTGTGTTGCTGTCAGTTCTCATGAAAACAATTAATAAATGCATTAAGAGGAGTCATATGCCTCCCTCACTGAACCAATGCTAAAACTGGAGAATAATTCAGGAGGTGGTTTTATGGTGGAATCAATCCCATGAGTTGAATACATATCTGGTTAGACTGCAATACATTTCAAACAAACTTAAAAGTTTACAAAATAGTTTAGAACTTCTTGGACAGTTTGTTGGCTATTGCTTTTAAATGTTATTAGAGAGGCTGACTGATTTCTATCTTGTGAACCACTTTAGAAATGTTAACTGCTATTCAGCACCAGTTAATAGTGTGCTTGCTGTACATGGGTTGAATTGTGCAAGTCCAGCACTCCACTCAGATCTCTCATAATTCCCTGACAAGGGCAAATTGGAGCAAATATGTATCAGGCTTCTTGCGCTAATCACTGTAGGGTTGGAAGCAAATTACTGCAGATATATTAAAGTGTCACAAAATTCCAAAGGATGCACATGATACGGGTCAGCCTGTCATTCTCATAAGGAGGATGAATCAGTGTGGAAGAAAATACCACTTTGGTCTGACAAACATATGCTCCATTAGTTAATGGGAGTGTAAAGAGCAATTTTGGATTCCACCCTTCCTGTTTCCCACCTCCCAAAAGGCTTACTGCAAACATCATGTCAATTTAAGGAATCCCTTTTAAGTATGAACATCAAACTTCTCAGACTTGTCGTAGTCTAATGAAAATGATGAGAATTATGGATGATCCCTAAATTGGAGACATTGAAGGAAAATAAAATTTTAAATCAATCCTGTCATATCTGAATTGTGCATGTGTGGATTTTATTATAGTTTGCAATACTCACTTCATGGCTGTTTATGGGATACTGTGGGTTGTAAATTAGTTATTGTGTTTGCCTACATCTACACTCACGAAACTTCACAGTAAAATCCTGTGAAGCGCATTGAGACATCTCAATGATGTAATATGTTGTTTTGCAAGGATTATTATTGTTATTAGTTGTTATGTAACCTAGAGTCTTAATCCATTTCTTGGTTGAGGTCCAAATCTTTATGTTGATATTTGAAACCATTCAATTAACTGACTATTTTGTTATCCTTAATGGTGCAGCCTAATTTAAGTATTTCATAACACGTTTCTTTAATAGGGAATCTGAGTCGGGCAAATGGGAATTCCTCCTGGTAACCAGACATATTTCACACCGACTCATGGGAACTCCACTCAGTAATGAATCCCATTACAAAATACCACAAATTAATCCCAATATTGTCAAGTTAAAGAGACTGAGCCTGTGGCCCAAAGTTACTGAGGCCCAGAGCATTCAGTGTGATGATCTATTTGAATCTCGAAATGAACAGAGAGATATAATAGTCTTCCTCCTCGATTGAAAGTTCATCCAAAGTTGAAAGGCTACTTTTTTTCTGAGCTAGAGCCCGGATGACATTCATGGGTTGTAATCTCACAAGAAGATTAGAAACACAACCAGTTCAATGCAAGGCGCATGTCAATTTAAAGCAGGTAGGGATGATCAGAAATCTATTTACATGTTGTTGCTGATACTGATTACAGATGTACTCAAATGATGGTTGGCTTGGGCTCAGCCCCCTTCCACATATCTACAGCTCACCTCTTGAAGATGAGAACACATCAAGACCCAAACAAATTTGCAATATCAATTATGAGAATCAAAGCAGACAAAAACGGTTTGGGAAATATATTCCCTTTATTATAATAACACTCTAAAATTCCCCTTAAAATTAAAATTCTATTGTTTAACTCTTGCATAGTAAAACCACTATTATCATTTGGCTATTTTGAGGTTAATAAGGAGTCCTGTAGCTCAGGGTTAGAACACTCACCTTGCAAGCGAAAGACTTGGGTTCGAATCCTGACAGGGAGAAACCTTGGGCAAGTTTCCTTACTCCACACGCCTGATAATAATCCCTCAAGAAAAAAAAATTGATCACTTCAATCCACCACTGTTTGTGGGACACTGTTGTGCGCAATTGGCTGCCAAGTTTCACCCACAAATATACAGTCAATTCATTTTACAGAATATTCTGTGAAGCGCTTTGAGACGTCTGGAAGATGTGATAAGGCACTATATCAAATGCAAGGATTATTATTATTATTATTAATAATTGGTATATAAGTAACTTTAATAGAATTACATTAAGTATTGCATTTGATATCGTGCCTTTCATGTTTTGAGACACCTTAAAGTGTTTCATAGGATTCATATTTTTTAGGCAAATATTGCAATAATTTTAGAGAAATGTTTACGGACTAATGTAATCAGAAATTTCAGCTGCGAGATACTAATGACCCGCAAGATTTTGAATTATATTTCCTACAATTATTATAAATCTTTCATCCTTTTACTTTCAAACTGAAAACTAGTTCAACCTAAACTGAATGTTTTTGAAAAAGCACTTTAACATGGTTCACCTCACATCATTGCACAACAGGCATATACACATAAGGAGGAACTGGAGCAATGACTGTCTGCTTGATAATTTTGTGCTATTATCCACCATCAAATTAATTAGCTTTGCAATTATCTTAGTTTATCAGGCCCAGAGATTGGCATGGAAAATGCAATTATTCCTAAGAACTGATAATATAGAGTTGACCTCTATTCTCTTCACAGGAATAGAACAGTTTTGAAAAGTACAAGTAAATATGGTCTGAGGATCAACAGATAAGAGATTGTAGGAGCAGCAACATCAAATTGCTGTACCATGACATTTTTGGAGGAAAACACATTTGGCAACACTAAGGATTTGCCAGATGCTGCCGGAAGGAATTAACTTACTTAAAAAGGGATGTAAGAACAGGAGGAGGTCGTTCAGCGAAGCAAAGCTTATTCTGCCATTTAATTAAATCACAGCAGATATTTTACAGCCCATTTCACCACCTCCATATCCCTTTTAAACATCCCAATCGATTTGGCGTCTAAATCTAACACATTTCTTTCTCTCTGATGCCATTGAAT